ATGGTCCTAGCCAGTGCGGGTTTGAGAGGTATTCCCAGTGGGTATTCCCCCCCTGGACATCCGCCATTTTAAATGATATCAGGGGGGTGAATGCCTCTCAGTCGCGCACTGGCTAGGACCATGGCGTCAGCATTTGATGACGAATCACGAGTTACGCCAAAATCATAGGAAAATCATAGGAAAATCATAGGAAAACGAAAAAGTCGGCCTTCTGTGTACCTTATTCTGTGACGAGGTCGTCGGTCAAATCCAAGATGGCGGCCAATTTGAGTAATTTTCAAAGTTATCTCGAATATTTTGAGTACTACATTCGTGATATTGTTTCCAAAATGTTTGGAAGCACAGTTGGTGAAAGTCGTTTAACTGATGGTGGTGAAATATCGCATGAAAATGTTTGTGTATTGTTGAACACCGCAAGAAGTAGAAGAAACAGTGACATCATTATTAAAACGAACAGAAGTTTGGAGGTAAGTTTCCAACTTTCCTGGAATATGTTGCTTAGAATTATGTACATCCTCAACGGAGGATACATGCTTTCACCAAATGCATTCACGTATTTAAATACCATACACTAGGCGTCTTCAATAATAGAATTAAGCCTAATCTTATGAATTATTAATGGTGTTTAAAGTGGAAGTCAAGTCCGTTCTGCGCATCGGATCTGCTCATAACAATGTGAGGACCTCTGAATGTAAACATTGCCCAAATTTCGAATTTTTCTGAACATAAACTCTATTTCATATTCATTTAGAAGCATAGCGAACCAAAATGGTGTTAGATATTCAGACAGTACATCATATTTTGAAAAATACAGCAGTTCAAAATGTAAACAAACCGTTTGTTTACATACGGACTTGGCTTTCACTTTAAATATTATTTAAAACACATGTACGAGTGTTTTATCATATTTAAAATGTGAGTATGTGCGCAGCACGAGCATCTTAGATATGATAAAACATGACTACAAGTGTTTTGAATAGCTTCAAACACGACTACAATAGATGCCTTCTCATTAGTATTTTTATATAAAGAATACTAATTAGGGTGGACTATATAAAACATATATTTTAAAAAATTGAATTGCCTTAATGCTCCCTACTTTATTGTTTAACTCTGTCTAAGGCTAGGGTATTTGACTTTGTCTAACAGCATGACTTCTCAAGGGGAGAAGTACTCAATTAGCGTCTTTCTCATGATGACGAATATCCGCCATTTTTGGGTGGCATCTAATTTTCATTAACCAATGCAATAAACTAACCATTTACAAAGCAAATTTGCTATCATTTGTCAAAAAAATTATAAAGGAAAATTGCTGTTATGTGGACTTTGCAGACTTCAGCTGAAATGCCACCCAAGAATGGCAGCATGAGAAAGGCTAATTGGTTAATTAAGTGAGATGAAATGTTGTTTGCTCTTAATTTCATATCAGAAAAGTTGGCATTTTTTGCCAACATTGCATGCAATACTAGATTCCCCTTATTACTTTATTTATTTATTTACTTATTGTGCTTCGCTTTCAAATATATCATACAATAATTGCATTAAAGAAGATGGGACACCACAACAGCTTAACACTGGTCAATTAATTAATTAATTATTATTATTATTAATTATTATTATTAATTTATTAATTATTAATTAATTATTATTATCACCAATTTATTAATTATTATTATTACGTTTTCATAGCACTTTGCATTATGGTTATAGTGGTATCACTGATATTCAAGATGGCTTATTTTTTGTCCTGCCCTGTGCAAGAACTTTAAGAATATAGTCTGCGTGCAGGCTAGGGTCAGGTGCGCGATAGCCAACAGCACAATATTCGCGAAAACATTCAATATTTTCATTTGAGGCCACTGATCTTTATCAGTGATAACACTTTTACCACAATGCAAAGCGGTATATATGAAAACATAATAAGAGGAATCATCAATTTGAAGGTCTGATGAAGTGTTTGCATTTGACACTTAATTATAATTCATTTTGTTTGTGTTCATTGCATTTTATTGATATTATATATTCTTTTGTAGGAAGTGAATGTGTTACATACTGAAATATGTCAATGCCAAGCAATCAAGAAATATTTGAGCTCAAGT